CCAGTGTGTGTCACTCTTCGTGTGTTTCACTCCTCGTGTGTGTCACTCCCAGTGTGTGTCACTCCCAGTGTGTGTCATTCCCAGTGTGTGTCACTCCACGTGTGTGTCACTCCACGTGTGTGTCACTCCCCGTGTGTCACTCCTCGTGTGTGTCACTCCTCGTGTGTGTCACTTCCAGTGTGTGTCACTCCACGTGTGTGTCACTCGTGTGTGTCACTCTTCGTGTGTGTCACTCCACGTGTGTGTCACTCCCAGTGTGTGTCACTCCTCGTGTGTGTCACTCATCGTGTGTGTCACTCCCAGTGTGTGTCACTCCCAGTGTGTGTCACTCCACGTGTGTGTCACTCCTCGTGTATGTCACTCCTCGTGTGTGTCACTCGTGTGTGTCACTCCTCGTGTGTGTCACTCCCTGTGTGTGTCACTCCCAGTGTGTGTCACTCCTCGTGTGTCACTCCCAGTGTGTGTCACTCCTTGTGTGTGTCACTCCACGTGTGTGTCACTCCTCGTGTGTGTCACTCCTCGTGTGTCACTCCCAGTGTGTGTCACTCCACGTGTGTGTCACTCCTTGTGTGTGTCACTCCACGTGTGTGTCACTCCTCGTGTGTGTCCCTCCTCTTGTGTCACTCCCAGTGTGTGTCACTCCTCGTGTGTGTCACTCCTCGTGTGTGTCACTCCACGTGTGTGTCACTCCTCGTGTGTGTCACTCCTCGTGTGTCACTCCCAGTGTGTGTCACTCCTCGTGTGTGTCACTCCTCGTGTGTGTCACTCCACGTGTGTGTCACTCCTCGTGTGTCACTCTTCGTGTGTGTCACTCCTCGTGTGTGTCACTCCTAGTGTGTGTCACTCCACGTGTGTGTCGCTCCACGTGTGTGTCACTCCACGTGTGTGTCACTCCCAGTGTGTGTCACTCCCAGTGTGTGTCACTCCACGTGTGTGTCACTCCACGTGTGTGTCTCTCCTCGTGTGTGTCACTCCCAGTGTGTCACTCCACGTGTGTGTCACTCGCGTGTGTCACTCCTCGTGTGTGTCACTCCTCGTGTGTGTCACTCACAGTGTGTGTCACTCCACGTGTGTGTCACTCCACGTGTGTGTCACTCCACGTGTGTGTCACTCCTCGTGTGTCACTCCACGTGTGTGTCACTCCTCGTGTGTGTCACTCCTCGTGTGTGTCACTCCCAGTGTGTGCCACTCCTCGTGTGTCACTCCTCGTGTGTCACTCCTCGTGTGTGTCACTCCTCGTGTGTGTCACTCCTCGTGTATGTCACTGCACGTGTGTGTCACTCCCAGTGTGTGTCACTCCCAGTGTGTGTCATTCCCAGTGTGTGTCACTCCACGTGTGTGTCACTCCTCGTGTGTGTCACTCCTCGTGTATGTCACTCCACGTGTGTGTCACTCCCAGTGTGTGTCATTCCCAGTGTGTGTCACTCCACGTGTGTGTCACTCCACGTGTGTGTCACTCCCCGTGTGTCACTCCTCGTGTGTGTCACTCGTGTGTGTCACTCTTCGTGTGTGTCACTCCCAGTGTGTGTCATTCCCAGTGTGTGTCACTCCACGTGTGTGTCACTCCTCGTGTGTGTCACTCCTCGTGTATGTCACTCCACGTGTGTGTCACTCCCAGTGTGTGTCATTCCCAGTGTGTGTCACTCCACGTGTGTGTCACTCCACGTGTGTGTCACTCCACGTGTGTGTCACTCCACGTGTGTGTCACTCGTGTGTGTCACTCTTCGTGTGTGTCACTCCACGTGTATGTCACTCCTCGTGTATGTCACTCCTCGTGTGTGTCACTCGTGTGTGTCACTCCTCGTGTGTGTCACTCCCTGTGTGTGTCACTCCCAGTGTGTGTCACTCCTCGTGTGTCACTCCCAGTGTGTGTCACTCCCTGTGTGTGTCACTCCACGTGTGTGTCACTCCTCGTGTGTGTCACTCCTCGTGTGTGTCACTCCTCGTGTGTCACTCCCAGTGTGTGTCACTCCACGTGTGTGTCACTCCCTGTGTGTGTCACTCCACGTGTGTGTCACTCCTCGTGTGTGTCCCTCCTCTTGTGTCACTCCCAGTGTGTGTCACTCCTCGTGTGTGTCACTCCTCGTGTGTGTCACTCCACGTGTGTGTCACTCCTCGTGTGTGTCACTCCTCGTGTGTCACTCCCAGTGTGTGTCACTCCTCGTGTGTGTCACTCCTCGTGTGTGTCACTCCACGTGTGTGTCACTCCTCGTGTGTCACTCTTCGTGTGTGTCACTCCTCGTGTGTGTCACTCCTAGTGTGTGTCTCTCCACGTGTGTGTCACTCCACGTGTGTGTCACTCCCAGTGTGTCACTCCCAGTGTGTGTCACTCCACGTGTGTGTCTCTCCTCGTGTGTGTCACTCCCAGTGTGTCACTCCACGTGTGTGTCACTCGCGTGTGTCACTCCTCGTGTGTGTCACTCCTCGTGTGTGTCACTCCACGTGTGTGTCACTCCACGTGTGTGTCACTCCACGTGTGTGTCACTCCACGTGTGTGTCACTCCTCGTGTGTCACTCCACGTGTGTGTCACTCCACGTGTGTGTCACTCTTCGTGTGTGTCACTCCTCGTGTGTGTCACTCCCAGTGTGTGCCACTCCTCGTGTGTCACTCCTCGTGTGTCACTCCTCGTGTGTGTCACTCCCAGTGTGTGTCACTCCACGTGTGTGTCACTCCACGTGTGTGTCACTCCTCGTGTGTGTCACTCCTCGTGTGTGTCACTCCCAGTGTGTGTCACTCCACGTGTGTCACTACTCGTGTGTGTCACTCCCAGTGTGTGTCACTCCCAGTGTGTGTCACTCCCAGTGTGTGTCACTCCCAGTGTGTGTCACTCGTGTGTGTCACTCCCAGTGTGTGTCACTTCTCGTGTGTGTCACTCCACGTGTGTGTCACTCTCCGTGTGTGTCACTCCTCGTGTGTGTCACTCCCAGTGTGTGTCACTCCACGTGTGTGTCACTCCCAGTGTGTGTCACTCCCAGTGTGTGTCACTCCCAGTGTGTGTCACTTTTCGTTTGTGTCACTCCTCGTGTGTGTCACTCCTCGTGTGTCACTCCACGTGTGTGTCACTCCCCGTGTGTCACTCCCCGTGTGTGTCACTCCACGTGTGAGTCACTCCTCGTGTGTCACTCCACGTGTGTCACTCCACGTGTGTGTCACTCACAGTTTATGTCACTCCACGTGTGTGTCACTCCACGTGTGTGTCACTCCTCGTGTGTGTCACTACCCGTGTGTGTCACTCCCAGTGTGTGTCACTCCCAGTGTGTGTCACTCTTCGTTTGTGTCACTCCTCGTGTGTGTCACTCCTCGTGTGTGCCACTCCACGTGTGTGTCACTACCCGTGTGTGTCACTCCCAGTGTGTGTCACTCCCAGTGTGTGTCACTCCCAGTGTGTGTGTCACTCTTCGTGTGTGTCACTCCTCGTGTGTGTCACTACCCGTGTGTGTCACTCCTCGTGTGTCACTCCTCGTGTGTGTCACTCCTCGTGTGTGTCACTCCCAGTGTGTGTCACTCCTCGTGTGTGTCACTCCTCGTGTGTGTCACTCCACGTGTGTCACTCCCAGTGTGTGTCACTCTTCGTGTGTTTCACTCCTCGTGTGTGTCACTCCCAGTGTGTGTCACTCCCAGTGTGTGTCATTCCCAGTGTGTGTCACTCCACGTGTGTGTCACTCCACGTGTGTGTCACTCCCCGTGTGTCACTCCTCGTGTGTGTCACTCCTCGTGTGTGTCACTCCCAGTGTGTGTCACTCCTCATGTGTGTCACTCCACGTGTGTGTCACTCGTGTGTGTCACTCTTCGTGTGTGTCACTCCACGTGTGTGTCACTCCCAGTGTGTGTCACTCCCAGTGTGTGTCACTCCTCGTGTGTGTCACTCCTCGTGTGTGTCACTCCCAGTGTGTGTCACTCCCAGTGTGTGTCACTCCCAGTGTGTGTCACTCCACCTGTGTGTCACTCCTCGTGTATGTCACTCCTCGTGTGTGTCACTCGTGTGTGTCACTCTTCGTGTGTGTCACTCCACGTGTGTGTCACTCCTCGTGTGTGTCACTCCACGTGTGTCACTCCCAGTGTGTGTCACTCTTCGTGTGTTTCACTCCTCGTGTGTGTCACTCCCAGTGTGTGTCACTCCCAGTGTGTGTCATTCCCAGTGTGTGTCACTCCACGTGTGTGTCACTCCACGTGTGTGTCACTCCCCGTGTGTCACTCCTCGTGTGTGTCACTCCTCGTGTGTGTCACTCCCAGTGTGTGTCACTCCTCATGTGTGTCACTCCACGTGTGTGTCACTCCACGTGTGTGTCACTCCCAGTGTGTGTCACTCCCAGTGTGTGTCACTCCTCGTGTGTGTCACTCCTCGTGTGTGTCACTCCTCATGTGTGTCACTCCCCGTGTGTGTCACTCCACGTGTGTGTCACTCCCAGTGTGTGTCACTCCACGTGTGTGTCACTCCTCGTGTATGTCACTCCTCGTGTCTGTCACTCGTGTGTGTCACTCTTCGTGTGTGTCACTCCACGTGTGTGTCACTCCACGTGTGTGTCACTCCCAATGTGTGTCACTCCTCGTGTGTGTCACTCCCAGTGTGTGTCACTCCCAGTGTGTGTCACTCCACGTGTGTTTCACTCCTCGTGTGTGTCACTCCACGTGTGTGTCACTCCCAGTGTGTGTCACTCCACGTGTGTGTCGCTCCGTGTGTGTCACTCCCCGTGTGTCACTCCCCGTGTGTCACTCCCCGTGTGTCACTACCTGTGTGTTGTTCCGTGTGTCACTCCCCGTGTGTCGCTCCGTGTGTCACTCCCCGTGTGTCACACCGCGCGTGTCGCTCCGTGTGTCACTCCGTGTGTCACTCCGTGTGTCACTCCCCGTGTGTCACTTTTGTCACTCCCTGTGTCACCTCGTGTGTCACTCCCTATATCTCACCCACTGTGTGAAAGGCGATGGAGGTGAGGTATAGGTGAGAGCACATGAAATCAGGTGAGCAGTTGAAATGCTTCTCACTCCCTGTGTCCCACAGGGCAGGGGTGAGGAGGTCATGACCCCCAGCGCGCGGATCCCCCACCGCCTCCCTCGTGCGGGACCCCTCCGTGACCTTTAACCCCCTGCGGAGGAGACGGCGGCTCGCCCCCACGGGGGGCACCTGCGGGCGACTCTTTCAACACGCGTCACTCGCGGGCGGTTGGCAAGCTCCTCCAAGTGCCCAGGTGCGTTTTTTTGTGCCTGTGCCCCTATTTGCCTGCTCATCTGCTCACCTATTGCTCACCTATTGCTCACCTATTCACGTGCTCATCGACATGTTTATCTGCACATTTCTATCCACCTGCTCACCTGTCCACATGCCCACCTGTCTGCCTACTCACCACCACCACCTCAGTTGCCCACCTGCCTACCTATTCACTTGTCCACCTGGTCACTTGTTAATTTGCTCAACTGCCCACCAGTTCACCTCTCCACTCGTCTGTCTGCTGGCTCTGCTGCACGCAGCTCTGGGCTGCGATGGAGCACATCGCGGAGGGAGACGGAGCGGCTCTGCCACACGACGGCAAGGCTGAGCTGCAGAGCGTGCCGGTAACATTCCGTGTCTGCGGTAGCGCAGCGGTTAGCACACTGCACTACGAACCGGGAGACCCGAGTTCGATTCCCGCTTACGCTTATCTGGCCCGGATTGCACAAAGACTGTTCGGGCAAGTGCTGTTGGCGAGCACCCACGAACGGCGGCTCGGCACGCGAGCTTCACGCCCGGTCGCCTTTTGTCTCCCCAATGACAATGTTTTACTGAGGCTGAGTCGACCTAGGAGAGGCCCAGGACGGGTTAAGATAATGGCCACCGGTGTAGGCCATGAGCGGGAATGAAACTCGGGTTGCCGGTTTCGTAGCGCAGTGCGCTAACCGCTGCATTACCACTCCCCGCAATTCAATCGATTCAACACACGGGTACACACAGACCCACATATACCTGGTGTGGTGTGCAAACACTGGGGAGACAAAGGCGGCCGGGCGTGGTGGGCTACCCGGGGGTTCTTGTCTTTTTGCACCGCAGATTGCCGCTCTCAAACACAACGGGCTGCTCCAGAGCCTGGCTGTGGAGACGGAGCGCACACCGCGAGCAGGTGTGCGCCGCACTGCCACACTGCCACACTGCCACACCGCACTACCACATCGCACCGCACTACCGCACTGCCACGGGAACAGCATAGGCAGACACACATGCAGAGAGAGACACACAAAGACACACAGAGCATGTGTGTCTGCCTATGATGTTCCCATGTCTGTGTTTTATCATTCATTCTTACCTGATGATGGTTGCTTGTGTTGCAACCGAAACGTCGTATTCTATTATTATTTGATTTAATTTTCTACGTGACTTTACCGAAAGAACCAAAGAGTAGTTCCTGCAGTCACGAAAGCTTCGAATCATCATGAATTGGCTGAAACCATCTTAGAATAAGAACCCAATGTAGGCAGGACCCTTCTGAATAAATAAGTGATGCTTATTAATTAGTACATATCAGTGACGGCTAACATCGGTGGCAATGGGGTGGTTAGTGCGCTACGTTACAAACCCAGCAACCCGAATTTGATTCCCGCTCATGGCCAACACCAGTGACGAGTATCTGAACCAGTCCTGGGCCTCCCCTAGGTCGACTCAGCCTGTTTTAAACATCTCCACTAAGGAGACAAAGGCGGCCGGATGTTGTGCTGGTCAAATATCCCCTCGTGTGCCATGCCGGTCTTCACAAAGGCGGTGTTGGCCACCCACCCCTTCGTGTGCCATGCCTTCATAAGTGCTCGTGAACAGCATTTGCCCCAACAGTCTATTAAGGCTATATGGGGGATCTTTGTCTTTTTCTGTGTGGGTGAACAGAGGAGATGGAGGATCTGATCCAGGCTCAGAATGAGTGGGCAGCAGTGGAAACGATTCAGCCAGGTGACACATCATGTCACATCATCACGCATCATTATACATCCTCATTACATCATCACTCATCCTCAGATCATAAACATATCATCACATCAGCTTGACCCCTTCATATCAGCAGACAACCTACATCAACCTACATCATCATCACACTTCATCACATCATTACCCCCATCATCTAGTAGAGGTGCTGATGATTCAAGGTGCGTGTGTGCATGCCCGATGACCCGAGTTCGATTCCTGCTCACGACTAATAACAGCGGCTTCCCCGAGGTCGACTCAGTCTTAAACGAGTGCCTGATGCGGTGCGTAAAACATCATCACTGGGCAGACAAAGGCGGCCGGGCGTGGTGTTGGCGATCTGCCCTCTCATGCGCCTTGCCGGCCTTCACAGGTGCTCGCTAACAGTCCTTTACCCGACAGTCCATTAAAGGCTACCCGGGGGACCTTTGTCTGTGTGTGAGCAGTGGCAGGAGCGGGGGCGGAGGTGCTCGCTCAGACGCCTCCCATCTCCTTCAGCGAGGCCCTGCACCACTTCCAGACGGCCGACCTCTCCCGCTACTCTGTAACCACAACGTCACCACGCACCATAACCACACCACCGCAGCGTAACCTCACACGCACACATCTACAGTGACAGAGATCCTTAATAGACTGTTGGGGCAAGTGCTTGTAGCGAGCGCCATCGCGTGTGTGTGTGTGTGCATGCGTGGAGTGGTGGCGCAAGTGGTTACGGCCAATGGCGGAGCCAGGATTTTCAGGTGGGGGGGGGCAACCCCTCCAGCAATGAAACATGATAAGAGTTGTTAGTAAGTAAGGAGTTGTTAGTGAGTAAGGAGTTGTTAGTAAGTAAGGAGTTGTTAGTGAGTAAGGAGTTGTTAGTGAGTAAGGAGTTGTTAGCAAGTAAGGACTTGTCCCTTGCTTTTTATTCGACGCATGTGCGGCAATGGCACAGCCATCGATCGAGAGTCGAATTGCGAACCGCGTTGTGTGATCGGCATCGCGCTCGCTGAAGGTGTCGATGCCTTCAGGGAAGTCGTGTGCTGTGTACGCAGCTGCGCACAATTCTGAGTCACTTATAACTGCTTTTCCGTTACTTATTGCCAATTATGGACCCTATCATCTCATAGAGTCCCTGGCACACAATAATATGCTACACAGTGGCAGTGGGGGTCGCAAAATGCCGATTTATTACTAATAAACCCTAATGATCCGATCGAAATGAGGGATTTCGATCGAATCATTGGGGGTGCACGTGCCACCCCCCACTGGCTCTGCCAGTGGTTACAGCGTTGCGCTACAAACCCAGCGACCCAAGTTCACGAATAAGATTGGTGAATATCTGAACCGGTCCTGACCCTCTGAGGTCAACGCAGTCTTAAATGTGTACCTGGCAAGGTGTGTGAGCATCATCACTGGGGAGACAAAGGTGGCAGGGCGAGGTGGTGGCCACACCACTCCCTGTGTACCCTGGTGGCCTTCATAGGTGCTCGTTAACAGCACTAGCTCGAGCAGCCTCTCTCTGTATGTCGGGTATATGGGGTTTCTCTGTGGATATTTTAAATGCATGTCTGTTAAAATAGGATAGTGAATACAAATTATGAAAAGAGGTGTATTCAATATAATGGGATATTGCCAAAGACCGATGTGATTTAGCCAGACAGTTTGTGTGTTGAACTTCTTTCACACCGTATGTAGCCAACCTTGTTCATCGGAGACAGAGGAAGAGAGCAGCTGCAGATGTGCCTGTACCTCCTCAGAAGGGCAAGAGGGAAACAAAGAGGGATGTGGTGGGTGAGGGGGGGTGACATGAAGCAGTGGACCCAGCTTGGCAGGGGGTGACATCGCAAGAGCTGCTTCCGAGGGGGAGCGGTTTCACATCTATCACCCACCTACGAACCTGGAGCTGACACCGATGGATTTGTGTGTCTGTGTGTGTGTCTGTGTGTGTGTTTGTGTGTCTATGTGTTTGTGTGTCTGTGTGTGGTGTCTGTGTCTTAGTAGTGTAGCGGTTAGCATGCTGCGCTCTGAACCTGGCAACCCTGGTTTGATTCCAACTCACGGCCAACACCGGTGACGATTATCTGAACGAGTCCTGGGCTTCTGCTAGGTCGACTCCGCCTCAAATCGCCACTGGGGAGACAAAGGCGGCCGGGCGTGGTGTTGGCCACCCACCCCTTCGTGTGCCGTGCCTTCATAGGTGCTCGCGAACAGCATTTGCCCCAACAGCCTGTTAAGGCTATATGGGGGATCTTTGTCTTTGCCTCCCTCCCCCGCGTAGAAGTTGATTCAGCCCACGCTGCGTCGAGGGGGGCTCTCGGCCCTCGCACACTTCCTGTTCGGCCCCCCACGCCTCCGCCGGGAGCTGCAAGGAGAGCGAGACCTGGTGTTCACCATGGCTCTGTGTACGTGTGCACGCACACGCGTGTGTGTGCATGTGTACACCTCCGTGTGTGTGTACGCACTTGCGCGTGGGTAGACAGATATTATTATTGTTGTATCGCTGAATATTTTCCCAGGTCGTTTATAGACAGGAGTAGTAGCCACAGTCATAGCAAGAGCTCTACTGGACGTGGTGTACCGAGTGCAGATTTATTTTAGTCCCTGACCTGGACAGACCCGGCTGAAATTAAGTCCTGTGAATACACACCTATGCGTGGTATGTACATGTGCGTGGTGTATATGTGGGTTGTCTATTGTGTGTGTGTACAAGTTGGCACAGTAGGGAGTACAGCTGATGCATCTACTAGCCATCTCCGCTAACTCATGGCACCTGGGTCTGTCCCGAGACCTCCTGTCGGCGAGCCTTCGACACTTCACGTGGCCTAGAAGTGCACCTGGCCTGGCACGGGCGCTGTGGTGTCGTCGCCATCACTTAGTGGCGAATGGCGGCTGTCTTGGTA